GCTTTACGGAGAGAAAGTGGAAGGCTTTTTCCTGCATCTTCCTGCACAGAAGGTCTCTCCTGAGCCTCGGTGGAGGGCAGCCCAGGTGCCCCTCTGGGGACCTAAGTTGGACTCCAATCTCTGGCAGAGAGACTGTCACGGATACCCGGAATGTGCTAGCATCTGGAGTCGCTGTCAGAGCTGTTGGCCAGATGAAAGTGCCCACAGCCTACACCTAAGAGCAGGTTTTGCTGTTCACCACATTAATGAACTATGAATCAGTTAAGAAGTCAAGTTGTGACAGAAGAAACAAAGCCTTTCTGCAGCAATTGGCTCCATTTTATGCAAGGGTGAACAGACAATGAGAAATGCAAGGCAGCTTTATGTACTTATCCATAAGACTTAAAGAAGAAAAGAAAAAAACAAAAAAAAAAAAAAAAAAAAAAACCAAAACAAACAAACCCCCCCCCCCCCCCAAACAAACAAAAACTGAAAAACTTCAGTTAGGATCATTTAGGATCTCTTTTTGGAAACTCCATAAAATAACATGGGTTATAGCTCTGGAACTGGATGGTTAGTAGATGAAGCCCTAAAGATTACAGAGTAGATAATTTTGTGCAGAACTTGTAATACTCCCAGCAACTCACTTGAAAGTAGTGGGGTAAATAATTGCTTCTTCAGACTTGGTGAGATCCACCAGCCCTTAAAACAGGTAAGCGTTCTTTCACTTGAGAAACAATTAGTTATGCTCTTCATTTACTAACTTGAATATTCATATTGTAGGAGTTGAGACTTGTCCAACTGTTCTTGCTGAGTCCTGATAAACTTCTAAAGAGTGTGATGTTTTTGCAGTTTGTTGTGCAAACTTATATTGGGAGGGGCGATTGTGAAAGAATTGTGTGTAATTATATGTCCCTTGAAGCTGAAAATGGGTGTATGCTGTGCTGTCTTGGATGTATTTGAATCTTTAGAGTGTGTTTTTTTTTTTTTTTTTTTTTTTTTTCTTTTAGTGTACACGACAGATCATCTCTGAAAAACTGGGTCGTGGCTCCAGAACAGTTGATTTGGAACTAGAGGCTCAAATAGACATATTGAGAGATAACAAAAAAAAATATGAAAATATCTTGAAGCTGGCACAGACGTTGTCCACACAACTCTTCCAGATGGTACATACCCAAAGGCAACTAGGAGATGCGTTTGCTGACCTGAGTTTGAAATCATTGGAACTTCATGTAAGACTTGCATAGTGTTTAAAAAATAAATAAGATGGCAGAGGTGAAGATATGTCTAATTGACTTTTTCAGGGTATATATTAGTTAACCACTAATTTTTCTGGATATTGTAGTTAATTTAACACAAAGAGCATGTAATATTCTTTATGTAATTCACTTCCAACTATAGGAAATGGTTGGAATTATTATAGTTGTAAACTGTTTCTAAACGCCTGTCTTTAATTGAAGATTGGGCTCAAGAAGTGACATACAGCTTTCACTTATATGGTGAACACATTTTTGCTGTTCCTTTTGCATCTAATGAAATGCCATCAGGAGTGTTCCAGAATATTACTTCATGACAATTACAGGATGCCTGTGGGGAATATGCCTGGGAGTAAGTAGAGTAGGGCCCATTACTTCATTTCTGCATACTGAATACGAGTAAAAGGTTTCTCTGTAGTAGGCTTAAGCATTGAGCTTCGATATCAAATTTCTCATTATAAATCAGACCTTTGCAACTGGTAGAACTAAACAGTACTTCTATGCTGCTTGAAGGCTGTCATCAAGAGAGACGATCTTTAGATGCCTGCATTTGGGTTGTTAGTTCTTGCTTTAAATGTTTTTAACACTTGCACTTTCTGCTGTTAATTATGATAAAAATATGTTGTAAAAATGAAAGTTAGATATAGCATGAAAAAATAGTACTTAGTTTACTTCTACGTGGATTGTAGTGTACTTCAAGAGAGTAACTTGCTGCTACTGGATGGTAGGAAAAACTGAAGGCAAAGATTTGTAAAATCATAGTTATGGAAACAATCCCAATCAATTTTGTGGTTATTAAATTTTAAATTTCTGTCTCTTCATTCCTCTCTCTCTTCCTGGTTGCCTATTCCCAGTGAGCTTTTTGGGAGGGACTGGAGCTAGTGTTTGCACAGACTGATTTTTAGCTGTTAGCTAGTTGGAATGATTTCCAGCTCCTGCAATGGAATATGGAAATCTTTAATATTGCAGTCTGACAGATGGAAATCGGTGGAAAATGTAGCACTTCTAGCAGCTGAGCAATTAAATTATCAGCTAAGAGGGCTTGAAGTTTGTTTTTTAGTAACCGGCATACTCTTGACACAAATACAGGGCATATAGTTTGTGGTAAGATTTACTGACTGTTGTGAAGTATGTGCTGAAGCTGGATGTTTTTTCTGAAACTGGGATTAAATCTGGCATCCTTCTCCTGTTTTAAGGAATGCTTTTCCACGAATAGCTTGTAACTGCTAGTGGGAATACTGTTTCTCCAGGTTCTATCAGCACCTAGGAATCTGCTTCAGTCATTCATCTCTTGTGTAGATTATTGAATGGGGCTGTCCATGAAAATCAAATAAAGATTTCTGCTGCTGTAATAAAAGTTATCTAACCTTTGCCTCTTGGAGACTTGCCTGGTGTTTGTCTCTTTCCTCTGTATTTTCTTTGTTTAATCTGAACTGTTACTGGCTATTGCTTGGTCTGTTCTTGAGTGTTTAGATAGCATTGTTGCCTCTAAAACTTGTGCAGAAGTATAGGATAATGCCTGGAAAGCTTGTCTTATTGAGCATCAAAAAAAGCTACAAAACTCAAAAATTATGTATGTTAACAAAATGAGATCTTAAAGGGTTGTTATTTAGGTGAACGTCTTGCTGTTTCTCTTCTGGATGCGAAGATAACTCCTGGTTCCAGGCTCATGTGCCTCTATAGGCAGATGAATTCCCATTTTATTCGACCTGCACATAGAGTGCAAACCCAGTGTAAGCTCTCAATTCAGAGAGGGCTGCCTGTCTCTTTCAGAAGAGACATACATAGGATGTGGACAGAATTTGAGGTCCACAGTTCTTTGAGGCATGATATAGAGCAGTGGAGAGAGTTTTTGATGGCTTCTGTGTCCTAGCTCTGCTCATGGACTGGGAGTGCTGGTTTACATGGGTGAAAGCTGCTGCAGTCCTGGTGCTTGACCCAGATCACTGCAGCCCCAGTGGACCAGCTGGAAAATTAACGTAGTCTTCCCTGCAGGAGGGAGAGGTAGCTGGGAAATGTACGGCTAAATGCTGCTGAAAAGGATATTCCTGCTTCTGCTGTTGCCTTTCCCTCTGTGCTCCCGCTTTCTCCTGCAGTAGTGCTTGTGTTGCTCCATGGTGACGATATAGTTACTGTAGAGCAAGTAGGCTCTCCCAGAGAGCCAACTCAGCTGCAGTGTAGCTCACTGTTGGGATTTTAGCAGGATCCATAGTGATGTGGCTGCCCACTTCTTGTCACACAAGCAGCTGCTTAGCACCAAGGAGGTTGCGGGAATGTCTTTCAGCAGCGCCTTGCTCATGAAAAGTTGACGCAGGTTCTCTTCCTTTTGATTCCTCTCCCTCAAACTGCTTCTGTTTCCTCTGTACCTCTTTTTTCTAGAGGCTTCAGCCCTTACTATGGCCCACTAACCTTAACTTCATGAAATAATTAATATTAACAAAAAACATTGTTTGGCTTTGGTGTTTGTGTTCTCGACAGATTAAAGGAAACTGGGAGAATACGGCACTTCTGAGTCAGTTGTTGGCAGTGTGCAAGCCTAAAAAGACAAAGTTCCAGATACGACTTGTGTGTTTTACAACCACAAATTGGAACTTTTTAAGTAAAAACTCCATCTGTGGAATGTGAAGATGTCATATGGATGACATAAAATAATAACGCTCATTTGGCATCTATGTATTAAGAAAAATCTCTTCAGCCTTGGTCAGTACTTACTTTCTTTTTAAAGAAGAAAAAAGCATGGACAAATATCCAAATGTAACTGAAGTGCCTTGGAAAAAGTGGGAATCATTTTGCTTTTGCAAATTTATGGCTGATCTATCTTGCCAGTTTTATTTGCTATTCACTAGAGTACTCTTCAGTTATTTGAAGCTTTTAAAATATTACAGATTGTGTGTGGGTGTATGCCTTGTTTGTTTGTTTTCTGCATTGCTCTTTATGCAGAAAGCAAGAGTAGAACATGCTAACTCATTAATACTGTTTGCCCTTGTGAGTTCAGTTTTACTACTGTGTTTAATATGACAATGTCTCTTTTGGGATTGGAGCATTATCTGGGCAACCACATGGCGATGCTGAGTAAAAACCATGTTGAATCACAATGTAAAATTTGATTAGCACTTATTTTACAGTGAAAGTAAAGGTTTTTTGGTTCAGTCTAAAACACATTATAAAATAAGATTTAACAATGCAGTAGCATAAAAATTGGAAACCATGTTTTAGTGATACTAAGGGGCTTTCACAAACTGTGACCTGAATATTGTAGAGAAGTTTTATGTATTGAATCACAGTCATGCTTATACAGAAGTGACAAAACTTTGTCTGTGTTGTCATGTGTTTTTATATAGTTTCTGATGAATGCTATGGTTTGAAATCATCTACAGTTTTGTTCTGTTTTCTTTTCTTTGCTTCTTTGTTTATAGGAGGAGTTTGGCTACAATGCAGATACTCAGAAACTTCTAGCTAAAAATGGAGAAACTCTTCTTGGGGCTATTAACTTTTTTATTGCCAGTGTGAATACACTGGTGAATAAAACAATTGAGGACACGTTATTGACTGTGAAACAATATGAAAGTGCCAGGTAGCTATTCTATGTCTTAATCTTCAAGAAATGAAGTTACCAGTTTTTCATTTGTTTTCTTGTTTTTGAATAGCTAAGAGATTAATAAAATCCCTGTGAATATAATGCAGACTTCCAATAATCATGATTTGCAGTTAATTTATTCCATGTGTTTTAAAAATGTTTTGTAAATTTTATATTGCAGACTTGATCTTATTTGTTAACTTTATAGGTTTGTCTCTCTTTCTTGTCCCTGCCTGCTAGAAAAGCAGTGCAAAGATGCGCCTTTTAGCTAGAAATATTGTAATAAGTGAAGTAATCTTTTGCACTTCAGTTTTTATGTAGAAGTTGCAGGTCTAGTTTGTGCCAAGGAGAACCAAAAATAAACTTTCTAGTGACTGAATAGTATCTTGTATGGGTTGAGTGTCCTGGAGAAGATTATTTTAGTCACGATATTGCAAAGTGTTCCAAAACCAGGTTCCCTCCTGCTGATGTTTAGATTTGGGATCCTTTCTGGTACTGCTTTGTTCTTGTATTCAGTCCCGCTTAACTGGATACAAATTTCAGTACAATTTTCCCAAAGGATAGTTTCTAAATGTTGACTTTTTCCTTTTCTTTAGACTGAAAAATGCAAGTGACTTGTGTGAAGTTCTCCCTGTGTTCTTTGTTCTATTTTAAAGCTTCATTTGTAAGCAAGTGACTCTTAAGCTATTGTCTTGATATTTTGATATATTATAGAAAGGCAAAATTAACCTGGCTTGCAATTACAATTAAAGTATTACTTTAATGTCAAAATACTTAAATGCCAAATCCATACACACTTTCCACTTAGTCCTTTGGGACTGCATGAAAAGTGCATCTCTGAAGAGTTCTTGCCAGTCCTTCTGAGTACGCCATTCTTCCCTCTTGAAATACCTTCATTAGTTTCTATTTGTTTTCAGTAAAATAAGTACCTTGTCATCTTGATATAGCCAATAGAATACAAAGGGTCCTCACTTATCTAGTCATTTTGTTTGTTCCACTGTATGATTCAAATTACTCTCTTATTACTTTTAATTTTTTAACTTGGTTTCTATTGCATGCTGAAAGGGCATGTGATAGGCCGTTGCTTTCAAATGGCAGAGATGTACGGGAGGAAGAGTGAGGTTTTGGCCAGGGCTGCCTGCAACCCTGCAGCGATCCCTGCCTGTTGTGTGGTGCTTGGCTTGGCCAAGTGCAAAGGAGCATGAGCTGCTGCATGGAAACGCAGCATTTCTGTCTCATTGTCTCACCCCCTTTCCCTTTTTTCTTAAGTATAAAAATAGCTTAATATCTGGCAAAGATCCAGAGTTTTAGACTTGTATGTAATACAAGTAGAATGTGCAAGTGCTGAATTCAGTAATATTGTCTTTATGTTGCCCGCATGCCTAGGCCCTTCTCCCCCTTTCACATGCTACCTATGTTTTTTGATAGAAACTAAAAATATTTTTTTCAAATCTTTTTGAGAGCATGACTGGAAATGACTTAAGTATTAGAAAATATAAAAATGAGGATTTATTTCCTAGTAATGGGGGAAAATTTGATTTCCCTCTCTGCTCCTTAGAACTGCAGATGTGACTGGTTTATCTTGAAATAACCTTCTGTATTAGATTGTACTATTTTATCAATGAAGCCTTTTGTATTATTTTTCCCTTAATAGTAGGATGTGAAAGCTATATAGATCAATTAGAATGATGTCAGGTATCTGCAGGCAAGAGGCATTAACATAATTTCGATTTCATTTTTTGCTGGCAGTGTCTAAAGACAGAATTACTTACATCATGATATTTTAGTGTTTGCTTCTCTTTGATTTCTAATTTTCTGTGATTTTGGTGGCGGAGAGAATAAGAGTTAATTAACAAATACTTTTTGTTGGCTTCAAGGCAGAATACATGTCTTGGCGGCAGTGCTCTCTTACTGCTTACTAGGCTGGAACACTTTGCCCCTGTGTCTGTCTCTTCCTCATCTCCTTCAGTGGTGGTGTCGATCTAGAGTATCTGGCTTTCCTGCCTGCCTAGGCTAGGCTTGCCATCAAGTGTAAGCACCACATCTTTCTGCTGCTTATAGGGTAGCCAGGTTATCCCACAACTATTTGTGGAGCAGCTGTAGAGCAATTGCTGTGGATGTGTGTCAAGAAGCCTAGGATGTGTGGCAGGAACCTTGGAGTGGGGATTGGTGGGTGAGGAGTTGTGCACTGCTGCAGCGAGGGGACACACTTCTCTTGGAGCTTGCCTTGCTCTGCCATCAACTTGTTACTGAGCTGATTCAACAAGCATAAAAAACAGCTTTCGCTCACTTAATAAACGCAGATGGTGAAAGAAAGGCTTTGGCTTTCTGAAGCCAGGATAAAGCAGGATTGGGAGCCCATGGCTGAGATGGGATTAGGAGGGGAGGATAACTGTTGAGGCAGCTTTAAACAATTTATGTAAGGGTATTTTTCCTGGTGAATGGGAAGAGAAAGGTTTTATATTTTTGTTCCACATATGTGACTCTCTTGTTCATCTTCAATTGTTACTGGCCCTGCACATGAGGTCTGTTTTGAGAAACTCTTCAGACTTTTTTCCTTTTTTCCTTCTCAGGATTGAATATGATGCTTATCGGACAGACCTAGAAGAGCTGAATCTTGGCCCTCGTGATGCAAACACTCTGCCAAAGATTGAGCAATCACAACAGCTGTTTCAAGTGCACAAAGAGAAATATGACAAAATGCGTAATGACGTATCTATCAAATTGAAATTTTTGGAGGAAAATAAGGTAAGCTACAAGTTCTGATGTTGTGCTAAGGAATTTTGTATTGTTAGTTTCTGTCTTGATAGTAGTAGTTTATGTATTGGATCTTAAAATATATTTAAATTTAAAAGAGAAATCAAAGAAAATAAGACAACTTTTCTGAGTTCTTGATGTATCACTGGAGGATAAACTTTTAGAACAGGAAATTTCAAAAGTCACCCATCAAGCTGCTGCAAAAGACAAACATATAATGGAGGTAAGTTTCTTGGTTATATGGGAGGGTTCAAGTGTGGAAGAGCATCATGGCAGCAGTTTATCACACTTAATCGTCAATTAATTGAGTCATAATTGCTGATTCAATACTGAGTAACATTGGCATGTTTGGCAACAGTGCCACAGATAATATGCACAAAGGAAGTGAGTGAGAAAGCAATGATGCTTCTTCAAAATGAAACCTCCAAAATAATAAAATAACCTTCATTGAGAGATACAACATTCTGTAGTCAATGCTACAGTTGCGTAACTGATAATTGTATGAGCTGTCTTTTTTATAGTTGGTTTTGGAATGGGAAGAGTTTGTTTTCTAAACACTTCCCTCCTAACTAGACCTTTCTATCTCCTTTATCACCGATTCCCTTTTCTTACTTTGTCTGCTAAAAAGAAAATAATTATCCTATAGAATGCATGTTTAAGCTGCACTTTTGTTGCTAAATAAGTCCTCCTATATTGTGTTTCCTTAACTACAAAAACTGATCAAGGCATGAATGTGGGTCATTCTTAGTATGTGAAATCGTTATAATGCTTCTCAGTAGCTGTTTTATGTTCAGAAAATATTAATTTCCTATAGAGTAGTTTATCGTTTTGTCCATGTCTACCAGTGGATTAACACTTTGATCATGAGTTAATTGACATATTGTAAGACCTGTGAGTAGGTAATACTGCTTGTTAGAGAATAGCGTCTTGGCCCCAAAACAACAGCAGTAGCATACCATGCTTCCTTGAAAGCCTTTCCTACTTTAAAGGAAAATCATAGGGATAAAGTAAATTAAAAGCAAATATTCTGCATTCATAATACAATCAGTCAGTTGCATCAACAATTTACAGTAAAGATGGAGTAGGGGAAAGAATTCCACCAGTGATAAGGGGTAGCGGGAGGAAGTAGAGGGGGGAAAAAAGTACTTTCAATGTGCTTGGGTTTCACAAATAGTAAGTACTGAAAACAGTGCTGCTGAGCACTGCTACTTTATATATAGACATTTGCACTGGGACTAGGGCTCTGAGACCACATAGCATTTACCACATTGAATTGATGATTCAGAAAACTCATCAACTGTTATTTTTCTTGTTCATTTATTGTTCTTGTTGAATTTTTAGCCTATTAACTCGCAAATGAAAGAATACATCTTAAGTCATTTTCCTGAAGTGAAATGCGATCTAATACCAATACCTATTTTTAAGCTGATGAATCATAAGAACTGCTTTTTAAAATGTTAGGTTGAAAACAGATATAGTTACAGTCTTTGCTTCTGGGCTTTAGGTTTTTTTTGTTTTTTTTTTTTTTAAACTGTCCTTCTAATACATAATTTGTTACTAATACAGTTTCCTATGTTGAAATAATGCTGGATCATTCCAATTTATCTGTGCTGGAACTCTGATCCTTAAATAAACTAGTCAGAGAGAGCACTTGCTCTGCTTCTTGTATTGCAAACTGGTCAGCTTTTTGCCTATACAAATGCAAAGGCCTTGAAGTCAAACCGTATTTACATCTTGCTTCACAAAACCCTTTTCTAATTTTTTATTAGATTTAGATACTTTAGGGAGCAATAAGTAGCATTTCTATTTGCCATCTTGAATTTTAGATGCATACAAAAAGTATGCAATGGCCTTAAGGCAGTTGGGTTTTTTTATATATTTTAGAAGATTATTACCTGTGTGCTCAATAAGTATAGGAGTTAGATTTTCATTTCAGTTAGATTTGATATTCTCAGTGCTACTTTTTATCAAAGGTATATCATAGCATTTGCTGTGACTCATCATAATTAAAACTTGGTAAATGTAGCATGTGTATAACTTGCAGGAGGAGCGAAAGCACGGTGGGTAAGGCAGGGTGACTAGCAGGGTCCCAGCCACTTCAGTTCTTGGGTCACGGAGGTGCTTAAACTAGAGAGTGTGTGCTGCCTTCCTGAGGGAACGGCCATCCTGGTATCACTAACAAGGTAGTGCAGTAAGCCCAAGGAGGGCGTTTCACTTAGATATGCTGCATGGAACAGGAACTAGTGTGTGAGTGTGCATGTGCGTCCAGCCCCAGGAACAAATGTGTAGTGGTGCCCATTTAAAGGAATGGGAGATGAAAATAAAGATTGCATTGACAAAATACCGCTTTGCTGAGTGACTTACCAAGACCTTCTTTGTAGCTGCTGTCTTGGAAAGCCCATGTTGTTGCAGGCTTGTTGCATGCAACGCAAATGACAGTATGGGTAGCTGTGTCAAACAAAGCTGGGCCTTAACTACTCAAATTAGTCCATACTCGAGTTTACCAGTCTCTGATCACCAGCTATACTGATGCATGTTGTCATAGTGCTGGGTCCAGACGGGAATTAATATTTGTTCCGAGTTTCCCTAGCAGAGCCTTTTTAAGAAAGAAAATGTTACAAACTGCAATAGAAAATTATGACTACCTGCAAGCCTTTTGGGTTTAGACTCTTATATATTGATACAGAGTATAGTACAGTCTACCCTCAAGCTTAGCTGTTCTTAGATATTTCTGTATTTGAAAACATAATTGTGTAATGAAATCTTGTCACAGCAATGCAATATAACACTTTAGGATATACTTTTGGATTAGTTGGTTCATGAGTGTTTCTAAATAGGTAATTCTAGGCTGACCAATATTAAAAAACAGGAAAAATCTGTTTTTTTCCTCATCTGTTTAATTAATGTCACAACAGGATCAGCAATGCTACATGTTTTTAGTGAATTTAGGTCCACTAGGTCTACCGAAGTGTGTACCCTCTCAAAAGCATTGCCCTGTATTTGGTGGTCCATGGCACATGAGGAGAGGGGAGAAGATGGGAAGTGTGTTCTGTCCCTCACTGCAGAGGAGCTGTAAACCCAGTTTAACTGGCTTGTGTGCTTTTATGCCTGTCTTGCTTTATATGTCATATGGTGCCACAAGCTACCTAGGCTGAGAGGGGGGGAAAGTCACAGGGTTGCAGTCTCTGTGTCTATTGTGCTGGGTTCACATGTTAACAATTCACTGATTGTCTGGGGAAGTTCAGAGAATTGTTACAGTGGAGCTGCAGTTGAAAACTTGCTTCTAACACCAGGGTACCCATGATCCCCACTTCCTTTCTTTATAACGTTTAATCTTGGAAGTAAACACTGAATTGCCTATGTTTATTATAGAAGAACTCCAAACATGCCATCCAAAGCCATGGTGTTGCTTGGGTTCTAGTAGGAATGAAAGTATGGGGAAATAGGATATCCTTAGAAACTGTCTAATTCTGAGCTTTTAACTTGTTTTGGGTTCCTGTTGCCTCTGCTGTGCCGTGGTGTTTGGTGCTACAGGGCTGTGTTGGTGCTGTTCCCAGCTGGCAGAGTTCTGCAGAGGTTGGTTGTGGTCTGGAGTGCTGTAATCAAAAGCTGTAGTTTATAAATAGTTACAAGTTGTTGTGTTTTTTTCTTCCCTCTATAAAGGCAGTGGCCTGTTCTTAGCTTCAAGATTTCTACCATTAGAGGAAAAAAAAATGAAAATGCCTTATAATGCATCACACAAAAATGCAAAAGAAAGCTATTCATTTATGCTCTTGAGAAATGTCAGATAATCTATATTATTCCATATACTTATGAGTTGTACCTCAGGAGTTTGTTGTTGAAGTGTTTGCTTCGTGCGTTATCTACCTTTGTAAATCTAATGGAAACCCAGATAGGGCAGCTACATCAGGTAACTTCAAAAAAAACTGCCGAGGGAAAGATTTGTGATAGTTGTGAGGAGGTAGAGACTGCCAGAAAGAAGATGGGAGCAGTCCTGGTGACAGCACTGAAATACTCTAGGCTGCATCTGAAGAATGCAAGGAAGCAAGCAGTTAATTTCTGTACCTAATGTATCACAGAAAATAGTGTGTGGAGATGGACAGGACAGCGTGTATAGAGATGAAATCTCAGAGTATCCAGAGAAAACATGAAAGCTTTGAGCCAACCTACAGTATCTTCTGCGTATGAAACTTAACTCTTTGGGGCATGTGTATTTCTCTTGTTTGTTTTCAGAGTTTGGTTTCATTAGACCAAGATACTATTGGAGTGTTTCGTCAATTTATCAGTGGGAGCAAATAGGTACAATTAGCCCATCGGCAAGGTCCAGTATTTTTAAATGATCAGCTACAGGAAATATTGGGTACTTTTTTTTGACAGCATGTTACTCATCCATTGAAACATGCATTCTAGCAGTGTAGCCTGAGCATTCTTCCAGTGCAAAGTGTTATCTTCAAATACTCATATACTGGAGTAGGTGCTACAGCTCAGCACAGTGCTGTATTCTAGTGTCAGTCTAACTGATTTTAAGACCCAGTTTACTAAGGGGAAAAAGTGTGTGTATGTGGGGAGGTCTTCTCTTCAGTGTGCTTTCCCTCACATTTCTGCAAACACAGAGGCAGCAGTGTTTTTGCAGCTGTGCAGAAAATCTTCTCTTCAGTGTGCTTTCCCTCACATTGCTGCCTCTGTGTTTGCAGAAGTGTTTTTGCAGCTGTGCAGAAAATTAGATCAGGGAACCCATCCAGGTTAAAGCAAATATGTAGTTGTCAGGTTGGTTTTAATCTAGATCTGTTCCCTGATCCAACCGACTGCATAACTGTGTTTTGCCAACACAAGTCTAAGGTGAAATGTAGTGTGGAAATAGGAATCAATGGCTGGATGCGGAAGCAGGCAAGGCTGAGATTTTTTTTTTTTTTTTTACAGGAAAACTAGTTAGCTTTGAAGTTAGGTTTCAGTGAATACTTGTAGTCCTATCTCTAGCTGAAATCACTGCTTTTATTTTGCAGTAGATGTCAGGTGTTTTGAGTTGTTGCTGCTTCTCCCTTCTCATCTCTTAGCTGTCTGCTCCTCAGAGCTCACAGGAGAAGCTTAAGTAGCATTTCTCACTTCTTAGTGCAATGTCAAACAGGTTAAGTGGTCTTAATGAGAAATTTAATCTTAAAATTGTCTGAAGCCCAGAATAAGAAGATCCCACATTTGCTTCTGGGATTCACTGAGAAAGTCGGCTCTGAAGGAGGAAGACAGTGTCTTGAATCTATACAACACATTTGCTTGGGGATAGATTTTCATGAAATAGTTCAAAACAAAAACAGAATGGTAGTTTGAGAGCAAATATGACCTCTCTTCGAAGTATATGCATGTGTGGCTGGGTGACTTTATAAAATTGACAGAATACTTCTGATAAATTCATAAAACTTTGCTATTAGGGCAGCTTTTAAAAGTAAACTTGGATGCAAGTTGATGAACCACAGTTGTGATGGCAATTTAATCTGGTTATATTTTCCTATAAGCAATATGAATATTTTTTACTGTTTTACAAAATGTGCTAGAATAGGGGTGTACATCTGTGTAAACTCCTATCTTGAGCTGTCTGAAATATTGCTAATCTGTGATAAAAGGAGTTACCTGAAAAGCAACATAGTTCTGCTTTTTTGTGCTTTTATTTTTTTTAAAAGCAAGCCTTGCACTGTCACTTTTACTTGAATGACCTGCTGCAACCTTTGGGATGATAACACATTTATATATAAATTGTTACATGTATCCACACAAAGTGAGAATATGGCATCTTTCATGACTGAAAATCTAAGCTGAACTGTGTTGAATAAGCGTATTTAGTTACATTTTAACCTAATGTACAATTAAATGTTCAAAGGTATACGTGATGATTTCTGTCAAGTCTTTTATTTGTAAATGAAAATACTTTTCCCAAGATAGTGTGCACTGTAGACTTTTCTAGCCCTACTCACCTTCATGAGGATTTTTGTCTTGGAAAGTTGTCTGGTTGAGGAACCTGCCATTATTCGGGTTTCAGTTGGAGGTGGGTGGTAGGACACCTATTCTTTGATACATGTTAAATTAGCCTGAAATATCAGAGGAGAAAACACAGTAGTACCAGTTTTCAAATTGTCAAAGCAGTTTGGGCTAAAGTGAGTCACCAAAGAGAGCTCATCACTTCTGCAAAGTTTTCATTTTGCAGGGAAAAACTTAATTCATAAGATGAGTATTCAGTAAGCAAGCTATTGACTACTCATAAAAACAAATTGGAGTTTAGTGCTAAAGCTTCTTTATGTACAACCATATCCATAAGTGTGTACACACATACCCCTGTGCTGCACATGAGAACCTGTATGCCTCTGGAGTTCCCCATTGATTATAATATGGGATTCTGTTCTCATTTAACAGTCTCATAACGCCTCTGAAGCTAAGCATGGGACACGTGCTTTCAGAAATCCGTACTGCGCTCGCTCGAAGCGGCCGCAGCCTCCCCGCGAGGCCTCCCGCGCTCGCTCCCTCGCTGCCGGCAGGGCCGGGGTCGCTCGGGCTGAACCCCTTTTCCTCTGACGTGAGCAAAAGCTGGAAAATCACAGCTCTCTGCAGGGGGCAAATCAGTGACCTATACACTTAGATAATGTACTTGCCATCCATACTAGCCTGGGGAAGCTGAATTGATCTGCCAGTACGTATAGTGAACGGAGGTTTGGTGTACAGCTGCAAGGAATGGGGTACTTCTGCATTTGATATTTGATAACACTTAATATTTAATATTATTTAATATTAAACACTAACAATTAGGGATCATTTTCATTTACAGAATTTTGTATTTGCTTGAAGTTTCCAAACAGTTATAAAAACTGTGTGAAGTCTGCATATCTCGAATCAATGTAGTTTGTAGTTCTGTTGTAGCTCACGTGTGACACTATCATTATCTGCCAATTGTACTTCACCTCTCTGTCCTTGTCTGCAGGTCAAGGTGTTGCACAATCAGCTGGTTCTCTTCCACAATGCCATCGCAGCCTACTTTGCTGGGAATCAGAAGCAGCTCGAACAGACACTTAAACAGTTCCACATCAAATTGAAAACTCCTGGAGCAGATGCTCCATCCTGGCTTGAAGAACAGTAATCAGATAAGAGAAGAGGACGCAATGTTAACCGAAAAAATCAGTAAATCTAATAAGAATTAAGGTTTGGGGTTGAAGGACTGTTGTAGTGATTCTTGCACAGACAGCTTTAATTCCCCCCCCCTCCCTTTTATAATACTGTAAAACTGAATTTGGTGGGAAAGTGGGTGGATTTAACCAAACATGATTTCCGTCATTACAGATGTAGAGCACTCCTTTTGTATGTAAAGGCTGATGGTTATTTCTGTAGTAGGGATGAGGGAGGGAGGGGAAAGAAAACTATTATAGATTTGCACTGACAAATTATGTTTGTGATTACTGGTCATTATTGTGGCTAGTCAAAATATTTCCAAAGGGAGGTTTACATGATTTGTACCAACATCTGATATTTTATATATGAATATAGAAAACATCTTTAATAATTTTCGTGTGACTTTTTAAAAGGAACGAGTTAAAAGACTATTTTGCAGATTAATAATATAAGGCCTATGTGCAATATCTGCATAAAGGCAACAGCTGTGGCAGATGGCGCATTGACTAGTGGAATTGCAGCAAATGCTTTTTAAAAAGGTTTCCCTTTCCATTATAGATTTAAAAAAGAAAAACGCTAAAGCAAGAATCACTGTCAGTCTGAGGCTTCTAAGCACACATTTTAGCTTTGCACCAAGCAGTTTGCTGAGTGAGGCCAACCATATGATTTACTAATTTCATTTTAAACTTTACTTTCTGTATGAAACAAATACCGTACTAGCCTTAATTCACAAGTATGTGCCTTTTTATAAGATGCTTTCAACCAGTGTACATAATCCAAGAACCCTTTCGACATGATGGTTTGCCAGTTCCCAGCAAGGGAAACGAGGCTGTGTATGCTGTGTTTCTTTGTACACTTAGAGCAAGTTAAAGCTTTAGTTAATCTTTGTGGACAGATAACTTTTTGAGTGGAAAAAGGGCCAGTATGATTTTTCTTCTTGATTGGAAAACATACTTCAATGACAGGGGTAACATGGAGGATATATATATTTTTTTAATTTCTCCATCAGTAGTGTAGTCCTTATTAAATGTAAAGTTAGTTCTATATGTCAATTTTATCATAGACATTTTAAATTCAGTATATCAGAGTCCTCATTTGCACATGTTAAATTGCTTTGGGTTCTGTTAAGTAAAATGAAATACTTCAAACGTGTTATTTACAACTGTGTGGATTGTATGATTTATGTACTGTATGTTCAAATGCCTTTCAGCTGACATTCTTCAACTTTCCAGTGCTTAACACAACTATAATGTAATTGTAAATCAAACGTTTTTAATCATTCCTCATTAAATTCATATTCTGACAGCTATCTTTATTTTTTTTCTTGATCTGTCTTGATCTGTCAGAGTATAAGAGTTCATTTACATTCCCCTGAATGTATATCCTTTGTGAGTTTTGTATTCATATTAAAGGTGTTTGCTGCAGTCATCCTTTCTTGGCTTTTGATGGTTAAAAGCAGAACTCTGCCCCGGCAGTGAAAGTTCAGCCCTGTTTCTCAGAGTTCCCACCTCTGCCCCCACACTGGCGGGGGCAGTTTATAACACTGGGTTATAAAGCTGATGCTTCCTGTTTTCTTCTGTCCCAGGGTGATTTAATAGTGTGGAAGTCAGAAGCAAATTTAAATGCCTAGCGAAGCAAAGCTTTTAATGTAGGTATGTTCTTTAGCCTTTAGAGCTAATTTCACTCTATTTGGAGCTTTGCAGAGTCCTTGGCTTACACTGCCTCTGAACGTTGCCCTGTGCGTGTAGTGGTACCAGTAAGGAGGTAGCTACGTAGCTGTACATGGGACCGGGGCAAGGTTGTGTCGCAGCAGGGCTATGGAGTGCAGACCTGCTGAGCTCAGCCAAAATCTCAGAGTTCAGAACACTACAGGAGAAGGATGCCTAGGGAATAGGTACTGTTGGTTCCTGTCCGAGGTCTTGGTCCTCTCATTACCAAGGATTTTCCAGGACAGAAGGAAATAGTCTGGAAGTGGGACGACTGAACTTGAATCTGAAGCTCCCTTATGCAGGAATGACCTGTGTGACTTGTGTAACCCTCAAACTCCTGCACTGGCTTAAAACTCCCAATGCCTCCTCACTTGGAAGAGGAGGTTGGACAGAAGAGGTAACTTGCCAAAATGTCTCTTTGGGGCTGGTATGCAGTGCTCAATATTGGTGAGAAGGAAGAATTGCTTCTGTTTTTCGTCAAGGAACCAATTGTCTAACTGGCCATTTCGTTGAGGATTTGGTGCTCAGATATCAGTAGGGTGTTAAAGCAAGTGCTTTTGTAACACTTTAACTTCCTTGTTTAGTTCCTTGGTAAAGTCTATGTGCTTACCAAGTTATTTAAACTCATGTTTGATGACCAAAGTTAGCTCCTGAGCAAATTTTAGGAATTTCTGCCTTTGGAGATAAGACTACAGCTGCACCTTTCACTTGGAAGCAGCTGTGGTTGTCAGACTTTATGACAAAAAGGGGGGAAAAAAAGGTGGGGGGGGCTGGGGGTGCAATCAATCTCAGGGCTGCAGTGCTGGCATTCATCTAGACAGATGTTTGTTTTGGCTCTTTTTTGAGAAGCTCCCTCACTGTCTCTGAGGATCCTTCTGAAAGCCTTCCTTTCCATCACAAGTTGCGGCATTAGTGCTTCTAGTGCTGCGGGAGGCTCCTCAAGAGGAGGAATGAGAAGCATTGGTGCCATTTCAGATGTGCGGCTGCAGCAGCTTTGTCACACAGGCGCAGGGACCATGATGCAAGTTACCTGCACTCCAGGTGTGTTTCAGGCTTGTAGCTTTGAGGCTTCTGTTGTTGATACAGATCGTGGCAGAAGGTTCTTCTGGTCAGTTTGCGAGTAAAATGCCATTTGACATATTTCATACTTTAAGTCCTCATCCACATCTATATTTGTTCTTTGTTCAGTAGTCTTTTTCCATGTTTCCTGCTTGATGAGGAGGCCGAGCTAGTCACTTTTTTTTTTTTTTTTGGCTATTCATACTTGCATATTTTGTGATTACCTTCCCTCCTTCCCACCCATCCCAAATTATTCAGCTCTCAGTAGTTAAGTTGTATCAAATTTACTTTAATTTTTAATGAGAAGATCTGTGAAGGTGAGGACTGTTTATACCTCTTGGTGTTGCTCTCTTGCTACTTTTTGCTGTTTCTAGTTCTTGGAAATATGATTTCTTTTAGATAGCTTGGGGGTTAGAGCTAGTGATGGAGGTGGAGCACACTCCTGTGCTTTGGCAGCAGCCTTGCTCATTGCACCTGTTTTCAGCCAAGTATCTTCATTGGTATTGATCTCATAGGGAACCGAGTGGTGAGGTACATGGGCTGCGTTCCTTTTTTTGGGGTGTGTATTTCATCACAGTGGTAGTTTGAAGTACTGTTTCTGTAACTTTAAAAGCTAGATGGCTTGTGCTCGCCTTGGAGATGCAGGGCATAAGTGGAGCAAGGCAAGGGAAAGGAAAACCAATCCAGGGAGCGTCTGGATGTGCCTCACAGAGCGGAGCAATAGCCTGGAGTGTAAAAGCTCGTTCTATGGTTTGCAGCTCTTGTGTTTCCTGTGACTCACGGGGGTGGCATAAAAGCATAATTTGGAACACTTGAGGTACCTTTCAAAAATTCTGCTTTTTAAATTATTTTTAAAGAAAGGGCCAGGAAAAGCATTAATTCTGCACTCTGCTACTGGTAGTATATTTTTATTAAAACGCAAATGCATTGTCAACTTCTATTCTAGTTGCTGCATGTGGGTGAGAACGACTTCACTTTGTGATTAAATGCTTGCTGTCTGATTTCTTTATGAGAACCTCTTTCAAAGGTTATTGAGCAATGGAAATACTTGATCTTCTAGAAGGAGAAATAGAGATCAGAAGCACCTTTCCAATCCTTCTGCATCATTGCTTGGTGAAACCTCTCCAGGCAGCACCGTGGCAGTGTCACACTCCTTAGCTGAAGTACAGAGCACAAAATTAACATGAAGCAGTTTTTTTAGCTTAGTTTTGCCCTGTTATTCCTGTTTATGCCAGCGTAAATCTATTGGGTCAATTGGGAGCAATTAAAATATCAGCAGTATGTGTTTCTTGTAAATGCTACTTAGTGGTATGTCTTCCTGTGATAACTTTTTTAAAAAAATGTCTACCTTCTTAAAGCAAACTGAAGGCTGGGAATTCTAGCTCTTCAGAGATAAAATAATGCTGAAGAAGACTGGTGTTGCCTGTTTGCTCTTGATTTGTTTTTCTTACATGTGTACGCATCGTAGTTTTATGTGAAAGTGGTAACTGACTGCAGAGTTTTGTTTCAAGAAGTTAACTACTACGCCATTTAATTTTGGAATCAAATGGCACTTAGTTTTAATGTTTCTGAAGTGTCGCAATTAACTTTTTCCTGCCTTTGTCCAAACAGTGTAGAAAAAAGGGCTAATAATAAAGATGACTGCACCTTTTGTTCAGATGGCATACATTGCTTTGTTCACAGAGAGAAATTCATCTGAGTTTCAGCAATTCAGCAAATCTGTGTTCAACCTAAAGCATTAGGAGCCCTTTATGCTTGCAAAAAACCTACATTTACAGAAGACTTTTTTCACTAATGAGGGGAGGGGAAAAAAAGATAATAAGTTAAATATTTATGCTGGAAACTGTCTTGCGTGTTCCACTAACTAGAAATCTTAAAATATTGCCAGATACTGTTTTGCTACTCTACTAGCCCATCTAAATGCTATCTGTTCCAGGGAGGTGCATTTGTTGCCTATTATAGGTGGGGCTGCTAGACCTACCTATTATTAAGGTTGCTTAATACTTCCTACTGCAAAGACCTGTTTTTGGTTGCCTGCAACTCTGATGAATTTTAACCGTGTGGGCAAAATCTTTGCTTGCTGGGTGATCAGATTTTTTTCTCATTCCTGAAGGAGGATGCAGGGTGAAAAATGCAGTGATTCATGTATGTTATATGAATTTCTAACTCAAGAGAGGTCCCCTGGAAAATAGGTAGCATTCACAGACAAGGTATGTTGGGAGGTGTTGCAATAGGGTGCAAGAATCTGTATGTTTCACCTGGGTTTTGTAATACTGCTGCACAAAAGCCTGTGTGTGGAAGGTTTAATCTTAATTTATGATGCTCTGACCAAATTTGAATTAAATTCCTCTTGGTTTCAGAACTGCTAACTTTATGCCTAATTAATATATATGCTAACTATTTATATGTGGGAAGAGGCTATACATAAGGCAAATTAGGTGCCTGGTACACTACACTGCTTTTTGAATTGGAGTGAAATGCCTCCAGAACATAATCTAGATTTACTTTGAACAAAACAATTTTTTAAAAAAAAACAAATATTCACATTTGACTTACGAATTTCAAAGGTCTTGTCTTAATGCATCTTTTGCATCCTGAAATACCACTTTGTGGTTTGGAATCTCCTTTGCTTCTGCATTTTCTCTACAGAAGAGGCTTTGAAGAAGTGGGTGACAACTACCCTAAATGTTGGCAAGCAGTACTTTGTAAGGGGGAAAACCTCATCTGCTAAAATAGTTTTGGAAAGGCTCTGGGGGAGAAAAAAAAAATAACACAAGGTAAGGAAAGAGTTGAGCTTAGCTTCACCTGGGGACAAGTGCCCTCCACCTTTCCTACCCTGCTTTTGTGGGTTGGAGGTTTTTTTTGGTACAAGGGCATCACAAAAGGCATCACACGAGGGTGTCTAAGTCTCCTGGCTCTTCTTGGGCCTCACCAGGCAGGGCCAGCACCCAGAGTGAGGTAGGGATGTGGTACTGGGGACCCTTTGCTTCTGTACACTTATATATGTACACTTTTTTATATGTATAGAAGGGTGCATATAAATAGATGTGCAATATACAATTTATATATTTCTTTTTAATTCCTCCCGCCTCAGCCTCTTCCTCCTGCGCTGCCG